GCTAAAATATTTTTCGAAGTGTTTGGCCGAACTTCTGCTCAAACTTGTGGCATGAGTTCTGATTTTATAAGAAGAGTTTTCAAGGCAGAAATATACTCGAAGGTTTGCCATTGCGTGCCGAAGGACGACTGCTATTTTGGGTTATGATCTGACCAGGTATTTAACCATGGTCCTATGGAGTGGAAGTACGCACATGTAATCACTCTGCTACGGCGGCCGCCGTAAGTATACATATCGTGCTATACATATCGTCGTTTAAAGTACAAAACCGCGTATCAAGAAAATGCAAAACCGCGTAATTGCATAAATTATTTTCTAGAGAGTAAAGTCACCCATATTTCAAAATGGTTATCTTTTTTATAAAGCAAACGTATTTCTGGCTAGTATATTTCAGGACGAATGGATAAGAATTGAGCCAAGAGCTTTTGTGAGCAAATCCAATTTTTGGCAGCCAATGTCAGTCACACGGTTTTGCAGAATGACGACACGCGGTTTTGTACTTTAAACGACGATATATATGTAAACATATTAGATTATTTATTCTCAAAATGCATGAAAACTATAGTATGCTTGCAAACAATTAATAACATTTTGTGATGAACAGTTTTACAAATGTACTTGCACTTCAAATTTGTATTTTAATAAAGTATTAATTAAATAAATTATTATTGATTGTAAATTATTATTTTAATAAATAGATATAAAGATATTTATACTTGGCAACTCTTGGACTTTTCTTCATTTGTAACAAATGACAGATGTATACAAAATAAAAAAATAATTGTATTTTTCAAATTTAAAGCAAACGGGCGTTATTTACAAAAAAATGTAGTTAGGGATCGAATTGCGCATATTTTTTTTACAATATCAAGTGCCCACAAGAAGTGTTAAACCCATAAATAGCTTAAAAAACGCTTTCGAAAATTCGAAACGAGAGTGAAGTGCAGTGTTCAATTGTGATCGAAATTGCAGGCAAAATTTGTACGTATGTAATTAATGTTTTACTTATTTGAAGAAATGTTGCCCCTTGTCATTAAAAATAAGCAAACCAAGACCCCCGCGTCCCACTGGTTACATAATACTTGAATAGCCCCTTAATTAACATGTGTTTGTTTTGAGAACGCACGGCCAGTTAAACAGGCATGTCTGAATCGATTTCCTTCATCATTCTTAGCTATTTGATGTGAATTTTTATTGTTATGTGTTGCAAACAGACATTTTAGGAACTAAATGGGTTCTAATCTATGTACTCAAGCGCACTTATTTTTAACAGTTTCCAGTTTATGTAATATTAATCAAAACAGCTTTTATTTATTTTATGTATTATGTGATTTCTGGAAGCGTTGAATACAAAAAAGGGCTGTGACTGGGTTTATGTAATTTGAAATTGTGTTGATGATTACTTATAATAATAGAAAGGCGCTTACATATCGACACAACTAAAAATTTCATATATTTCAGTAGAGCCAATTAAAGATTTTTTGTTTCGTAATTTAGCAATAATATGTCTTGGAACGTAATTATTCCGGATTATATGCAGTCATACTGTAAGCTTTCAAATTATGTATTTTTCTAAACCTGAAATTTTGAATTGCGCCGTTATTGCAGAGGACCATCGACATATGTTAGTGTTTGGCCGAGCTACTCCTCCGATTGTGGCATGCGCCTTGATGTTGTCGCACAAAGGGAAGGGACCTACAGTTTTACGCCGACTCCTGCCGGGGGCCGACCACTATTACAAAAAACATTTTCTTTTTTTTTGTTGGCCGGAACTGGGCTCGGACGCTCACCCTGCGGAATGGTAGTGCGCACTTCTAACCACTACACCACAGCGATCGCCTAATTAATTTTAATCATTAATCGCGATTAAACATTTATTCGTTAATTTTTAGTCATTCATAGACTAACATTTTGTCGACAATACTCGCATAAGATAGTCACAAATTTTCACAAAAGAGAAAAGTGATTTTCTTCAAAACTTTTGAATGACGTCTTGACTGAACTTACTAACTCGGAATTTCTACTATTACTTATAGAGTAGGCTATTCATAAAGTCTGGGTAATGAAATAAAAATTTTTCTATTTTAAGTTCCATAAATATAAGGAGACTTTTATTGTTTAATTTATTTTTTGCACATAAACTTGTATCTTGAACTTCTTTTTCCAAAAAGTGAGGATGTCAAAATTTCAATAGATATCGGATGTACGGTAATTTTCCAAAGAGATCTCCTAATAGATAAGTTCATGAATATTGTTCCAAACGAAAACTTAAAATTGATAAAAAAAAAAAATAACTAAATTTAACTAATTTATATTAGAGGTTTGAAGTTTATCCCACTGTAAGTATGAAATCTTCAGCTATGTGTTTCCATTATCACTTTTTCGTAGCCATATCAACAGCCTGACAATTAAGAAGATTGTGACGTTTCATGCTACCATACGCAATATCTCAAAATCCTTCAAATTTTATTATTAACCTTTTGTTTGTTAAAAACATTTTCTTCTTAGATTCGAAACTTGATCAAGCAAAATTGCCTTTGTTTTTGACTAAGAGATGCTCAATAAGCTCAGAATTGTAGTTCTCATTTGCATACATAACAATAAATTATTAATTTTTGTTTCACACGAACTCCAATATTGAATAGTAAAATATATTTTAATCTTACCCAAATAAACAACGATTTAGTTCAATCGTCAACCACATATAGAGTATAGGGTGGTAATGTGTTAAAGTTTTAAAGTTTTTAAACGTAAAATGACGGCTAATACCTTTTTAAGCGTTTTGTAATTTAACCAAAACTCATTAGCATCCCCTCAAGCAAGGAATTATTTACTTTTCAATATGCATTAGCAGAGTGCACTTCTATTTTGTTTACAATTTGGTTGTCAAACACACTACATCGGATCTTTTGACACATTTACCAGAATTTACCACCAGGTAGCTTCTGACAAAGAGATGACCTTACTTACTCTCTTATTTGTCCTCTCAGTTGCCAGAAAACCATGTACGATTTCCGGTAAAATCTGGAAATTCTGCTAAAAAATGTTAATTTCGGACTCATGCGGGTTTACAACTAAATAATATTGGGAATACTTTTGAGGTGTTTGAAGAGGGTTGCGACCTGTTTGAAACTAAATTTATTTATAATAATCATATTTTGGCCTTGACACTTTTGCTAAGTTTTGGCCGAGCTTCTCCTCCGATTTGTAGCGTGCGCCTTTGCTGTCACACAAATGGGAGGGACCTACAAACTTACGCCGACGCCGAACGGCGATACAATTTTTATGATGAGCTATTTTTTTATTAAAGACACTAAGATTTTTAAAATATTTTCACTAAAATTTTATCAACCTAAATGTAAAGCTTATGCGAAGTAGTTATCTAATTTAATGTAAATTTTAAACATTTTCAAGATAAAACATGAATTATATTTAAAACGTAAATGTTAATACAACTGTTTTATATATAATCCCAAACATATGATATAAAATCCCCTCTACCAAAAAACTTAAATTGGGTAACGCCGGTTTGAATTTTTACAATTGAGCAATTGTCAAAAATCTTCATTTTTATCAAAAAGTTATTTACCAGGGTGGCTTTGAACTAATGATTGGTACTGAGTTAAAGAATGCACACACATAAAAGATTGCAGCCTTTTCAATACTCATTCAGTGTTAAACCTTTTTTTGATTGGGCATTGGTTT